CATTCTTGGGTATACAGTATTTCAGTGTCATTCTTGGGTATACAGTACGTTTGAGGCCAGATTGGCTATATGAGACCCTTTCTCAACCAAATAAAACAAATCAACAACAAAAATCTGTTTGATAAATCCTTTGGATGTCTGGTTAAATCTGTGGACTTTCATAGAATTTGTTTCTGGTCTTTGTTTTTTGACCCAGGGTCTTACTATGTAGCCCAAGCTGTAACTCAATCTCCCACATTCTGGGATTATAGGCATGTACTAATATTGTACTACCTTTTGTTTTCTTTTTGAAAAGGGCCTAGCTACACTGTCCACGTTGACCTGAAGTTCTGGGCTTGAGGCTTCTCATTTTGGGCACCTGAGTGGCCAGGACTATAGGTGGTGGTAGTAAACACATCCAACTAACAGACTTTGTGTGTGTGTGTGTGTGTGTGTGTGTGTGTGTGTGTGTGTGTGTGAAAATGGATCCTAGGGCCTTATGCATACGAGGCAAGGACCTACCACTGAGCTATATCTTGAGCCCATCACAGGATGTTTTTCAAGGTATACCTGCACATCATGCATACAAACAAGCATGAGTAATGATAAAAGCTGATTATACTGAAATACAGTTATCACCTTACATTTGAATAAAACTGGAATATAGTAGCCAGGTTTGGTGGCAAAGGCCTGCAATCTCAGCATCCAGGGAGTTGACGGAGGAGGATTTTTGAGCTTTTAAAGGCAGTCTAGCCTATATGGGAAGATGTTGTCTCACAAACACCTGGCCAGTCAATCACTCTAATTATAGGATCAGTTTATAAAAATCAACTATTATCCAAAGTGGTGAGAAACATGAGCAGTATTTCAGATGTCCGTAAACTGTCATATAAAAAGTAAGCAACTTGCATACATAGGGCTTTTCCTGTTTTGATTTATTGCCAATATTTGTTAACTGGGAGTCAAGCTGAACTTCCATTATAGTGACAATATTCACACATTCCTCCATCATGTTTGGTGAAGGTCCCTGATGTTTAACCATAGAAGAACCAGTACTTTGGGGGAAAATCCTGGGCCTACTCCGGACACTCCAGGAGAGGTTTAGAGAAGAGGAATGTGCTCACAGTCTCAACAAATCTCTCCTGCAGCTCTGAGGTCTTCACCATTTCTTTGTCGTCATTGAGTTGCTGTAGATTCTCACTCTAGGTCGGTCTGTTCAGTCCCCATAGATGATATCTGCAAACAAACTCAGCAAGCCAGCTTCTGGTTTTCTTGTCAGGCAGCAGCTTTTGGGCTGTATTACTTTGACTTTTACTGCAAACCCTAACATAAAGGGAAATGTATATATATTTGAAAAAAAAAAAAAAACCTCACACATGTCAAAAGGTTAACTCCAAGTGTCACTGCATTCTCATAGCTCTGTAGCTCCCCACTGGGAACAGGCTAGGATTGAACAGGAGGGCCACGGGCATTTAAGAACAGATTTGTCTAAAATCATTTTTTTTACATTTATTTATTTTGCATACATATGCAAGTGGAGGTGACAATTTTTGGGAGTTACTTCTTTCCTTCTACCATATGGGTTACAGGGATTTAACTGGTTGGCCTTTGGGCTTAGCAGGGAGGGCCTTTTCCTACTAAGCCATCTCTCCAGCCCTAGAACTAATTTCTTATTAGTACAATTGGGACCAGGTATGGCAGTGTATATCTTTAATCCTAGTACCTGGGGGTCTCATGTATGCTGGGCAAGCGCTATCACTGTCCTACACTCACTGTCCTACACTTCACCCCTTTCAGTGTTTTGTTTGATTGTTTTTGCTTTGCTTAAGACAGGGTCTTACCATGTAGCCTAGGCTGGACTGTCACTTATGTGCTAGGATTAAAGGCCTGTATCACCACACCTGGCCTATTTCTTTCTTTCTTTCTTTCTTTCTTTCTTTCTTTCTTTCTTTCTTTCTTTCTTTCTTTCTTTCTTT